AAAAAAAAAAAAAAAAAAAAAAAAAAAAAAAAAAAAAAAAAAAAAGAAATTAGATGTTATATCTATTAAATGGGTTAATTTTTTTTTTTTTTTTAGAATTTTATAATTAGGGCATTTTCTTTTTTGTTTATTATACACAAAATTTGAAGAATTTGGGTTCTTCCCGGGAAAATGAATTAACAAAAACAATTTGTTGCTGAAATTTTTTTGAGCGCTAAAATTCCACTCTCGCCTGGAGAAGATCGAAGATCACGCCACAGAGGCAGAGAGAGAATCGTCGGGTGACATGGCCGCTGCCAGACCTACAAGAACGCCGATGAAGGTACGGCGGAAAACTATCCTGTTCCTCCGATTTGTTCTGTATATCCTTCATAATTTCCCTTCTGATCGGATTCAATTATCTGTCCTTTGGCTTCTCGAAAATTTTAACCCTTAGATTCTGTGGATCCAAATTGGAAGTAGGAAACTAGAAAACAGGCGCAACTAGAACCGATGCTGCTTGGTGCTGCTGGTTACGCCTTTATTTTCCTCGTCTAAGGAATGCTACGGAACATGGAGTTTTGTTTAGAATGTTTCACTGTTACTACGGAAAGATTATTGAATGTGGCTGCTGCTAAATTTGAAGTACTTCTGTAGTTCCTTACTATAACCAATGGTGCAAAACTGTCACTCTGCAGAAGTCTCCATTAATTCATCAACGAGGAAGTGAGTTAAAGTGTTTGTTGGCAGTGGCTGTAAGGAGAGTCATTTTGATATTCAGAGTCGGCTGTTCCAGGACACTCAATTTTTTTCAGTTAGTTTTTCAGTGTATGCTTTGCATGTGGTCTTTGCTGTTTTAGCTTAGAATATAAGTGAATCTTATGAAAATTTTGAGTTCCTGGGAATTGGTAAGTTTGTTTAACCAAGCCAAAAGGCTATTTGAAGTCATAGATATGAGATGCCCACTTTCTGATGGTGGACAGTATTTCCATTTCTTGAAGTTTAAAGTGGAAGTTAGAGATTTAATGCTTTTATGTGAGCACTGGTCACTAAGCCCGAGTCCTTTTTATGTGAGCACTGTTGAATCTTCGAAGTTTCAGGTTTTAGTGATCAGATATCAATAGTGTAACTCTTACAAATTGTAATTTAGAAGGGGATCTTCATTTGTTGTTGCATCTATAAATAAGAAGTCCATGTCAAGTATTGGAGGCCTCTTTTGGTGTAGGCTAAGGTGCTATTGGTTTCTCTTTACAGTCGACACGGCTGCCAGTAGGTTTGTATGCTGCGCAATGTGAGGAATGCTTTAAATGGAGGTTGATAAGTACCCAAGAAGAGTACGAGGATATTAGAAGCAAGCTGATAGAAGAACCCTTTACATGCCATAGGAAAACCGATACTTCTTGCAAGGATCCTCCCGATATTGAGTACAATGCAACTCGAACTTGGGGCATTGACAAACCTAACATCCCAAAGACCCCAGAAGGTTTCACGAGACATTTGGTGCTCAGAAAGAATTTCTCTAAATTTGATGCTTACTATGTTACACCCACAGGGAAGACAGTGAGATCCCCTACAGAGATGCAAGCCTTTATAGGAGCAAATCCACGACACAAGGATGTACCTCTTACAGACTTCAGTTTTACAATCCCAAGATTAATGGACGAAACTGTTCCTGAAAGTAGCTTGAAAGAGGGCTTAGATAGCAGCAGTGCTAAAAGATTTAAGAAAGCAAAGGATGAATTTGCCCATACTGACTGAAAATCACTTGGGCTCCTTGCAGCATTCTGCTGCTATTCTTAACCCATTTGAATGGTTCTATTTTGACTTGTCTTTCAAGTGCTACTGTTGTACCATTTTCGTGTTAGCTTACGAAGACAATTGTGGTGTATTGTATAACATGGCCTTGTGTTTGATGACACTGAATATTCTTGGACTTTGAGTTTGATATGACTAATTAGTAACGACTTTGGAGAAAATAATCCATTTGTATTCGCAAACATGGCGAGTGGTATCAGTATAAACCTTAAATTTTATTGATTTCAATTGAACTTAGATAAAGATTGTTTGTACTATCTACTTTGATTCTCTCGTGCATGCACCAATTTTAGCAAAAAGTCATGTCAAAAACTTACTAAATGCAATGAAACTGAGTTTTCTTTTAAATTATGATTGCTTGAATCCTATCAACAAAAGAAAAACAAAGAAAAAGACAGTTTGTGGCCTTTCTTTAAAGATCATATGAATTGTGTTAAACTTCGAAAAAAAATCAACTAAAAGTGCTCTTAGAGGGGGTTCTGCAAGTGCTCCACTTAAAAGCTTTGCTGATAAATTGGAAACTTCCTGATATTATGATGCAAAAGAAAATTTTGTACTGCTTTGTGATTGAACATTAACGAAAGTAATAGATACTATAACAATGAACAGTGCAGCAACTGAGAAATTGGCTCTTATAATTAAGAGTAAAGTCAACAAACAAACCTCTTGGCAGATTTACTTGCAGAATTAGTAAGGAAGCCTGTTCCCTCTGGCTATTGAAGCTAAAACTTCTGCAGTACACTCCCAACCAGATCATCTACAAATATGAATGTTCTTGAAGAACCCACAATTCTTTTTCACATAGTATTCAACAGATCCTATGGAACCATACCATCTTCTCAAGAACACACCAATCACGAACGAGGCTGGCTTTCACTATAACTGGCGTTAGTCGTGCAGGTACTTGTATCTAGGCTCTGTGTTTTCTTAACTCTGATAAATGTTTGTTTAAACTTTGCAGTCTAATCTATCTTTGTGTATTCAAGCAGCATGTGAGGGGACCTGTAAATTTTCACGAGTGTCCAATATAATACCTCTTCAACTCCAAGCTCTCCCTCAGCTCTAGCAGCATATATGTCTTCACAAATAGCAATCAACCTATAATAACGTTTCAACACACAATTAGTTCATGTTAGAAGAGGTAGTTGACCTCATAAAATATAGTAAAAGCACTTGAACTTTCTTTGAGGGCTGGATTGTAATGTCTCTAAACTTGTGTTTTCGTTGTTCGAACGAATATCAAAAGCAGAGAAAGATTGCAAAAGTGAATTTTGTTACATTACCTATCACAAGAAGGTAGATTCTCATAGGGAATTCTCATTCTCAAGTCAGAGCATTGAAGTCTTATAAAACGGCCAACTGCTAGAACAAAGGTTATGTAAAGACCCCAGATGCTGAACTTGCTGAGAGTGTCCCCCAGAATGCCCTCTGCAAGAAAGGTTAAGCTTAGTAATATGATTTTGAAGCTTCTGTTCTATTAATCATCTTTGCCATATTATTTTTCTTTAAGACTCACGAGGTGGTATTTCCTCAGAGATTACAATGGCTACTGGTCCAGTGAAATGTCCACATTTGCTGACATTTATTGGCTGGATGTCATGGAAGGACCACCAATCGTAATTTTCACGGTTCAAGATGAGATCAGCGCTGACAAAATTGTCCTGTAAATGATCATCGGGTCAGTTGTTTGAATAAAAATTCATACAAGCATAGAAATGATATCAGTTGCTACTGCCTCAGTAGATGAAGAGCAATGACCCCAGATCCTGAAAATCTCAGTCAGGTAACTGCACGATGAATTTTCATGGCTGTCATTTGATTCATGAGTTTTCAAACATGCAATTAAATTTTTTTAAAAAAAATTAATTCTGTGAGAGGTTAGAGAGAGGAATGAAACATTTCTTATAAGAGTGTGGAAACCTCTCTCTAGTAGACGCGTTTTAAAATCGTGAGGTTGACAGCTATATGTAACAGGCTAAAACGGACAATATCTACTAGCGATGGGTTTGGGCTGTTACAAATGGTATCAAAGCCAGGCACCAGGTAGGGTGCCGACAAGAACACTAGACCCGAAGGAGGTAGATTATGAGATCCCACATCGGTTGGAGAGTGGAACGCAACATTTCTTATAAGAGTGTGGAAACCTTTCCCTAGTAGACGCGTTTTAAAACCGTGAGGCTGATGTAACAGGCTATATCAGACAATATCTGCTAGTGGTAGACTTGGGTCGTTACAAAATTTGGTCCCTGTTGTTAGTCCCTAAGTTTTTTACGCGCACAATACTAACCCCTAAGCTCTATAAAGTAGCCACCAAGTTTTGTACGCGTACTATGCATCCCCAAAAAGTTGTCTTGTGAATTAGTTTCATTTAGATCCGGTAATTAATTTTCCTTTCCCTATAACAATGGATACCTGATTGGATATTTTTTTGAAAAATAGTTTTATTAGATTAGTGATATACTCAGATGGCACAAAAATACCTCAATTATTTTTAAAAATATCAAGCTAAACCATATGCCAATGAAGATAGTGGAAATAAAACTATGATACCATCACCCATGAATCCAAAAGTTTAAGTTAACGAGTTACGTTAAAATTTTAATTATATCAATACTTTAACAAATCTTAACGATAAAATATCAGCTAAAGGGTGTAAGGAGTACCTCTTGTTCCAGAGGTCTAACATCACCAGAGCCTGTGACACGAAAGTATCTCTCATAAACATTTTTTATCTGAAAGCTATTCATCGAGCCATTGAGAACTTTCTGGATATCAGATTGATTAGGAAGATCTCGAGGATGAACAAGTCGGTCATATCTTACAACTTCCTTCCCTTTTGGTCTGTCTCTGGTGAGTAGCCAAGTGAAAGCAATGCTTATATCTTGGTTCCAGTCAAGGGAATGAATGAATCTGGACTGAACCACACCAGGGACAAGCCACAGGACACTAGCATCAGCTTGACAACAAATTAACTGAATATCATCCCTATTATATGGACTAAGATAGCCTCCAGGGTCAAGAACCATATTAGCATTCAACTTCTCCCATTTGATCTTTTCACAAAGAGTAGTCTGGTAGAGTGTCAATCTTCCTGAAGATGTCTTGATATCCACTTGGCAACTGGCATCCTTGATTGGGTTTGCAACATTTGTTGGGTTCCCACTACTATACATCTGCAACAAAAAAAAAAAAAAATTGAATAAATTGGGAGTAGGAAAGGAGCCGGCGACTGAAGCCCCGGTGAACGGCGGCCGTAACTATAACGGTCTTAAGGTAGCGAAATTCCTTGTTGGGTAAGTTCTGACCCGCACGAAAGGCGTAAATGGGCCACAATTTGGGACCAGGAAGTTTTGACTAGAAATTCAAGCGTTTCCTTAAGAAATTTGATAAATTGGGAAGAAACAAGTTTAAATTTCAAAAGCTAAAAATGAAATCGTTACCAGCATTGGAGCCCAGATAACACAGATTAATATGAAGAACAAGCATATTCCATTGCAACATTTGGTCATAACAGTTTGCTTATCTCCTTGTTTGTGCTGAGATCTATTCAATACTGCATCACATTTTACAAGGTACAAGCTTGCATTTATGTCCTCCAGCTGAGACAAGAAATTCATATAGTATATTAACTCAACATTTTAGAGCACACAAAACTATGTTGAGCCTACATCCAAATGGTTAGAACAATGAAATAATCACCTTTAGCCAGTCGTACATGGTCAGAGAAGTTGTCGTGCACGACCAGTCCAGTACACATCGTAATTCATATAAGAAGGGAAGAGCCCGGTAAAGCCTGTACCCTAAATAGTTGATTCTTGAAACTTCACTCGTCAAAAATTGTCGATACAAGGTGCTTTTGTGTGGGAGACCGTATCGAATTTGTATCGCTTGCAGTGCTAAAGAAACCGCCTTCGCAAGAAATATAGCACGGAGTGCCAACTCTCCTGCATGCTGATTGGAAGGCTCCATTTGCCATGCATACTCCGTTACCACGTAAGTAAAGAGAACGAGATTGAAAAGGTAAAAGATCACTTTACCGATGGCGAATGAGCAGAGGTAAATACATCGATCCAGCACGATCAAGAAGAATATTATCTGAGGCACAGAGTATGTTGATATAATTCAAGCTATGTGACTGTCATAAAACCTTAAATTTGATGATATGTAATAGATGGACAACTTACCATCAAGATGAACACAAACTCTTTTGGGAACTGATCCTCTAGTTGATATACATCAAGAAACTCAGTATTGTTTTTGATGACAGATTGGTAGAAAATCGCGACAAAGAAGAACACTATCAAATCTGCACCAAAGACATAGGCATATAGATCGATTTCCCTTTTTCCTCCGCCGATCACGGAGAGGATTTGATATGGGAATCCAGTATTTTCAACAAGTCCTTTGTGTTGTGCAAGCCGAATCTCGTTCGTTACATCAGCTGCAGGAGTAAGAGAGTCATACCATTCTGCACAAGTATCAGTTGAAGGAGAAGAATATACTACCTCTAGAACAACCAAGGCCATCTTTGCATTTTCTTTACTTCTTTCAATGCTCTGGACATGAACTCTACTAGAAAACGGACATGGTCGAGGGTTCTGCTCCTTACACCTCCCATCATGGATAATTTGAAGCATCTGATTTATTCCTGACTCGATCCTCTCAGGCTGAATCCCGTATTCTGGCCATACTTGGACATCCATAGAAACCTGGATAAAGTAAGGTGGAGATTCTGCTCCTTGAGTCAGTGACTTCCAGTACTTGCACAAACTCCTGAGTACAAACATCATCATTTTTTCCCCCAAGTGTAGGAGTTCATATGCCTTTTCAGTCAAACCATAATGTCCAAGACTGTGTTTTCTGGGGAGATCACTTTTGTTGAAGGCATTAGAATATGTCCACTCACCATCTTTAGCAGTTATAGAGCTTTGCAATAGAGTAAACAAGTAAACCAGGAACAGAGGCAATGAACTGATAACGAAGGATGAAGTAATTCTATGTGTAGGAAATCCAAGTTCTTGTAGTAAATCCGAATTAATAGTCAACCCACAATGCTGGATGATTATCTGGTACAGATACTGTAGCAATATGTACAATTCTGTGTAAATAAGCATGATGACCCAAAACATATAACCCGGACCGGTGTTTACACACAGGGCATAGACAAAGAGAGCTGCAAGGTAAACCATAGAAAGTAAACTAAAGTTCCATAAAAAGACGAGGATAAAGCAGCAATAGCAAACGACGTCGTTGTTGGACCGCATTTGGGACCATATGTGACGAAAAATCCTTCCCAACTGCATAGTTGCAGGATCAGAACTCTTATCAGAATGCAGCGAGGAAGAACGCTCGAAATGTGTGTACCTAGTTTCTTGGCTCTCAATCTGATCGTAAACCCGATCCTCGGTATTTCTCTGTTCAATCATGTCATCGTCTTGTGTGACATTTAGGAAGCTTGCAAGATTGCTAACAGCTTGATTTCCAATAGATTGTACTTGGGAAACACCATCACCTATAAACTGTACAGCAGACATTAAGGGGTTTCCTTTTGCTGAGCTTTTGTGTTTCCTTTTTCGATCCAAATCTAAAGATATATCTGAAATCTGAGAATCAATCTCACAAATTTCTGGAACTGAAAATTCCATTGAGTGCATTCTTGACTCTGTTCTAAGATTAGCAAGAGATTCCTGCAATTCAGGAAAGGGAGAAGAATCTGTTCTAATCATCTGTTCAACCTTCCCAAGTAGTGTTCCTTCTATATCAGAGGTCATAGCATCATCATCTATCCTAGAAGTACTTTGTTTTCTAAGGAATTCATTCCCTGGAATTGGCGAAGCATTATTGCCATCAAAAGATGAGTTCATGTTATGAAGCTGAATTTGAAAATTCAGCATCTCTGATTTCATTTTCTCGACTTGCAGGTTGCGTTTCCGTTTGCTTTCCTCTGAATCACGGATATGCTGTAACTGTTCAGTTTTCCAAGCAGCTTTTTTTTCCTGCTCGTGAACAATCGCACCGATTTGCTCGGCTTCAAGATATCGGCATACGTATTCAAACTCTTGCAAGGAGAACATGTATGATTGAAGAGAGACCAACATGAAGATAATAATTTCAACAAGAGCAGATCTTGCAGTAATTCGAAATCCATAATCATACTTGTAAAATCCAATCATCTCAAATATGTAATGCATGGTTTCACACTTTCCAGCACTAACTTCTCCTACAAGTGGAGATTGGTAAGCTAGAGAAAGAATAATAAGAGCAAAGTTGTATGCACGCAAGAACTTGAATACTTTGTTCTTCTTCTTCAGAATTTCAAGCCTTAATCTAAAGAAAACCAGTGCAAAGGCAAGATAGCCAAGATGTAGTACATCATATTCAAGAGTTCCAGTAATCAAAATCAAAGCCAGGACAAGATCCAACAAATGACAATAGCAATAGAGCCTCAGGTAATCAAGGATGGTCCACATGCTTTTTGTTTCAAAAGATAGATCCCTCCAAACGAATGTATTTTTACGGTGAGACACCATTTTACGATACGTAGATGATAGCGAGAAACCGGATAAATGATCAGCACGGAGTTTGAGAGACGAAAGCATGAATACCACAAAATAACTGAAAAGCATCCTTGAATCGTCGACAGTCAGTCCTGCATATCAGGTAACATAGACATTAGCATGCCAAAATAAGAAGCGAAACTACAAAGTATCAATAGTTTCAAGATTTTTACCCAGCCAACAGTTCAAACAAAACTGGAAGTACAGATTCGAGATTCGCCAGCAGTCATGACAATGAACACCAGCCTTGCTTGGCATATTCCAATCTGAATTCCACATGTTCATCCAGAAGGCAATATATTCAAGGATAAGAATGGAAGCAAACAAGAACACAAATATAGGCCATAGTTTACGTATAATGCCCCGATCCAAAAGAATGCAGGCAGCCAACAATCCGACGTAGAACAGGGAGACAGAATTTAATACAGCGAAACTAGCAAGAAGCAAGGAGATCATGGTTATCTCAAGACCAAAGAGATGGAACAAATTCTCCATCCAAAATTTCATATATATCTTGAAAATAATCTTCTGCATTTCAAATCTTTCCTTTCTCCAGTATATAATTCGCATTTTGTCCCACTTGTGACATTCTTTGGTGCTTCCCCAAATAAATCCGAACGAATATTTACTAGTGCTGCTACATCTGGAGTTGTCTCGTTTACTCGATGCAGAATGAGGCACTTGAGACTGATTCGAGACGAAGGAAGGCCTTAAAATATGATCTGAACCTTCCTGTTGTACAAACAACCTTCCAGCATCTAATGATGGGTTATTTTTCTCATGAGAGATTGATATGTCGTAATCATCTTCATCTGAGACAAATAATGGACAAGGGTCATCCCATTTCCCTTTATTTAGAGCAGAACCCGGCACCCGCTCCAACCAGCGAAAGACATTATATTGGAGGGTGCATGCAGCAATTATCAGAACTTTTCCCCTTAAGCCTAATTCCAGACCCCAAAATCCAGGCTCAAAAACTCTAAAACCCAGAAAATAAGACAAATTTGAATGCTTTTGTCCAGGAAACATACCAGCTTGCTTACCCCACATCTGGAAAAGGTATTCAGCTGTCATGATAACTCCTGTATATGCCAGAAACAGCTTTGATGGGATATGAGAAATCTTGGGTAAAGTGGAACATACACCGAGGCCGAGAAGATATAACAATCCAAATGCACTGATCGGTGATATCGATGCATAGAAAAGAGAAGCAAACAGAATCTTGTCACTGTGCCAACTAAGGAAGCGTTTTACAAACCCGAGTCGCCCGTATTCTAAAGGCTCGGGTTCATCAGAGCTATTATATCTGCTCTGTCGTCTCTCATAGCTGTAAAGTTGCATCACAATCAACACAGCCAAAGACTGCCAACAATTTTGCAAAGATGAAGCCTCTGAGTTGTATCCCAAAAAGAAATAAAGATCAATTGATCTGGATAACCATATCCTAAAGCTGGGGAAGCTGCTTAAGCAATATATGAAGATAAACACTATAATTGCATAGGCTTTCAATGGGAACCATAGTCGCCTCTTTGTTCTTTCAACCAGTTGTCTTCCAATCATCCAAACAAGAAGAAGGAATAAGTAACCAAAGGATATATAATTTGGTTTGACAAAGAAAACCGTGAGAAGAATAGTCAGAAATGCAATATAGGTTCCACATGATCTGTACATGGATAGGAACTTCTCTCCAATGGAACTCAGGAATGATGCAATCTGTCTCTCTGCAGAGAAACAAAATAAATGAGCGATATGAATGATGCAGTGGCAAATGGATACAGAGCTGACGAACCACCAAAAGTGTTGATTCAAATGATAAAACATATAAACCGAATAAATCTGTAGCTCCTATAAACGAAACGATTGCTAATTCATATAAAAGTTGCATCCAAATTGATAAAAAAACCTAACACTAGATCAAAGTTTTTGGATCTTGACCTTTGTGCATATCCATAATCATCAAAAGAATAAAGCTTCCATGGCTAGATGATCAAGCATCAATTTGATTCAACCAAAAAAGCTCAAACCAACAATCAAGTTTGTAAATTTTTCTTGAATGTATCAGGGCTCAAATAGGAGAGCAATATAATCAATGATGAGTTTTGATAGTAATACCATGTGAAGGATTATCATGGCAATAATTATTCGTCGTGCCCGTATAAACTGATAGCAGAACTGATTTATTAAGGCCAGCTCGTAAAATGCTAAATCCAACTGGGGGACTAGGTGTGTGCTGCACAATGGCAGAAAAAGAAAATAGCATTTCAAAACCATGGTTATGAATTGTACAAAAGCCAGCAAGCATAGTTATTTCCAGGAACTCCCACATGCTATCACGTCCAAGGAGACCTGCAACGAACCAGTGATAAAATGATAAAATGAACCAAAAATAAGTACAGTGCTCCATTTTTAAAATCATAATATAATATCCTCGAACGAAAGCACACATTACCTAGTTGCAACAGAATTTCCCTACACAAAGAACCTTCCCGATCTAACACATTCGATATCAAGTTGATCTGAAGAAGATATAACAATGCAAAATGAATCTCATTTAGAAGAATCAAAGACTGGCGCATCTTTCTGCTAACTTCGTGGCTCAAAAGGTATAGGAGGAAGAATACCACTGAAAACATTGAAACACAGAATCAATAAGAAAATCGTGGAACTTAAGATCATAATTTGTAGCTTTCATGTCATAAGAATCAACCAAAAATAACGCAAGTTTCCACTGTACTTATTAATTGGCATATAAAAACATACCATACACAGCATGGATGAAACCGGGCTTCATTGCCACCAGGAATATCAAAGTTAGAACGATCGCTCGAGAGCTTTTGCGCAAACCCCATGCAATAGTTGCCACAATTAAAACCTTGGTCTCTCCTGCCTCTGAAAATTAAATAGTGTAAAGGACCCGATTCTACCGCTATCAATGAATCAAACAATACGAATATACTTCAGAGTAAGATAATCAATATTTCTAAGGTGATAAAGAATACAGGACAAATGAACTATTTAACCAAGAATCACACTCCTCCCAGAATGTTTAAAAGTTTATATTTACCAAAAAATTGTATTTATATACAGCACCTATTGACAAGAAGCTTCTGCATAGTCAATTAGCTAACTATCTGACAAAGAAAATAACCAAACTTATCCTACAAAAAATGGAAAACTATACAAGGCCTACTTGGACCGCAAATATTGTCACATAGGTATGGATATTAAATATCTGAGATTTAAAAGTCTTGTGAAACCAATGGCTTGTCTAGGATTATTCCCCCGCCCCGCCCCAAAACTGACATGTTTGTCTCTTCCCAAAATCAAACAAGGAAAAAAATTTGTTTTTTAGCACAAATCAAGTGAACCAACGGAATCAGAAAGAGTCATTTTCTTTCCAATTGCTGCAGTCATCAAAAATCCAAATCAAGTCCTTTTCATGTAAAGAGAATGCGAAAAAGCTAAAAGAAAAAAGAGATTTCTTCTTGGAGAAAAATGTTCTTTGTTTGGCCTAAACCAACCACTTTCTGAAAACTCAGAGGTCTTTTTATCAGCCTTTTTTTTGTTTGGCGAGGGGAGCTTGAAGACATTTTAGTTCGATTTTCTTCCTTAAGCAGATCAACAGACCCGAGTGCTTGCCTAAGGCCTTTGCATCTGTTTCCAACTTGATATGGACCCAGGCCTGAGATTGTCATACTACTCGTAGGCAGACCAAGGAAAGGGGAAATTGTCCCAATGGCAAAGACCCATTTTGTGGTAAAAGAGATACGATCCAAGGTTGTGACACAACTTCAGCGGGTATAAAAAGGAAGGCATGAAATGGAATAACTAATTCCCTAGCAACCTAACAAGGCAGCCAATTGGTCATAAAACTTAACTAACCAATCAGCCTAAAAGCTTTAAAATAAAAACTCCATACAAAAGAATTAAAGAAACCAGCCAAATCCCAACAATCAATCAATTACTAATTACCTCTAGCACTGCAGTTGTCATTTGAAGAACGCTCGTCCTCATCGGACACGCAAAGGAAAACTGAGTTGTTTACAAGATTGACCAAGGCAACCAAAATTCCGAGACAAAATTGTGCAAGCAGAAAGAATCCTGGTATTGGATAATGCCACAAACCCACCATCTCCCAAACATCCATGTCCTGCAGACATAACCAAGAAAGACTACCATTGATGTCTGTGTCGTAATGAAAAAATCGATATTTTGTAAATTCAATAATACCTTTCCAATCTTCTGATTCAAAAATGTGAATGCTACATTGAAAATATATGTGCTAATAGCCCAGAAGAGAATGAACACAAGCAGCAGCCCATTCAATCGATGCAATTGGAATAATGAAGGAAAGGCATATACGATGAACCCAACATATGCGAGTAACCCAAATGCACATAGACTTGCAAAATGGAAACTCCAGAAGGACAGAGCAACCAAGGAGACCTGTCACAATGAGCTCTGAAAGCTTAAATAAATCTTAATATGGTTTAACTCAAAACAAGAAAATAACTTAGAATCGTTAAAATGGCATTAACAGAACAGTAGAGAAATGAATTGGACTAAGAAAACATTAACGAAGTGTTCAATCTCTATTTAAAAAAAACTATGCACACTAAAAAGTTTACAGAAAATTCTTTCTTTGGATGAATTTTATTGAATACATGAAAATAAAAGGCATCAGCTAAGGATAAAAATTATTAAATTGGCTGGAAGGAATATAAGAAATGAAGTATTTACAAAAACTTTAGAGAGGCAAGTCTAAACAGAAGGCTGATAATAATGTATCCTTAGCAACGGCATCGAAGGGCTACGATTCATTCTGAGCCAAACACCCCACAAGTGTAGCCTGGATAGAATTGCACCACAACACACTATCCCTACTTTTGAAGGACAATCGTGCAAGAATTGATAGACTCCATTACAAATTGTTACAAATTGTTCCAGGAAATATCCAAAGATTTTTTTTTTAAGTTCAGCAATACGCGTGGTGGAGATTCGAACATCTGATTTTTTGGTTGATGATAAAATGTCTTAACTAATTGAGTTATGCTTAAACTGGAGATAGATAATTAAAATAAGGATCATCTCCAAAGAAAGAGCAAGAAGACAGAGATAATTAAAATAAGGATCATCGACCAATTTGCTTTTAGTCACTCTGTTCCAAGGGAACTCAGTTCCTTAGGAATATCCTACAGCCACTAAAACACAAGTTTTTTTCATTCCTCAGAGATTTTACACCAAAAAAAAAAAAAAAAAAAACAGAAACAAAAATAAAATCGACTCGTGGTACTAAACCCAACCTCCCAAACTCAGGCAAGCTCACAAGAAACAAATTGAAAACTGGAAACATCATAACAAAATGGCTAGCAACTATAAAACCAAATCATCATTCCTTTCATAGAGCATATCATATTTATATTCAACATCATATCTATAAAAGATTAATACACCCATGACTCTCCACGGCCCACAAAGTTAACACACCCATGGGAAGAAACAAACATAAGTCTACGATGGTCCACATAAAATATTATGATTAGAAATATATACCGGGAAACCATACGTGAAAAAGTTAATAGTAAATGTTCGGAAAACTTCTCTCCTCAACAAAACATTAGTATGCTTCACACCAGACCTGCAACATTCAACAACAGGTATATATAAGCAAAATAAGAATCATAATACAAATACACCCTGTAAATATAAGCTTTGATAATTTCATAAGAAATTCTTGAAAACCGTGGTAAGCAGAGATATAAACGAGGGGGAGAAGGGAAAAAAATCAATAAGTGAAAGAAAAATTGTGTAAATCAGATATAAACAACTTAAGTTTGAGACCTCAATTCACGAATGAAAAATGAATGCTTGGAGGGAAGAAGTTGCTCCACTAAGTTGCTTTCCCTCATTGACATTATGAAATCCATTTCCTCAAGATCGCACTTGACACAAGAAAGCTGCATAAGAAGCATTATAATACAACTAATCAGTCAAGCAGAGGATGAGGGTCAGCAATTTACAACCATAAAGCGAACAAACTATTCTCAATTCAAAAGAGTTTCTAGGGTGAGTCATAAGGAGTCTAAACTGTAAACGTTGAAACAGATACTTCCTGCTTCACATCTTGCCATCAATATGCAAAGCATATGTTAAAGAAAAAATAAAAATTAAGAAATAGACAAACAAGTTACATACCATGATATAGAAAAGTATAAGAGAAATATAGGAACAGATCCCAGGCCATTCGGAGGTTGACGATACTTTAAACAGACCAATGAATCCAGCTACCCATTTCAACATACTAGGGTACTCCACCGGAAGTTGATACACATAAACAAGAAAAATAATGAAACCTGCATATAGTTGAAGAGGCCTCCACCACCTTCAAATAACATGTAAAGTAGAATCATAAAAAAGATGCAACTGATAAAAACAACTTCAAACTACAACAGAGTATGCGTGCACCAAAGTTTGTGGCCAGGAAACAATCAAGAATCCCGGAGGAACAACCTGAAAAGTCCTAAAAAGTTGCTTGTTAAAGACCAATCCACCAGACCTACACAGCTGCCAATGAAAAATGGAAGCGAAACCCATGAGGGATTGCTAATTCCCACAATAATCTGAATGGCAGGAAGTAGCAAACAGGAAGCAACCCTTAGATGAGAACCTGCCATTTCCAACAGAAATTAAATCCTCGTATTTCATTTTGTAAAGAAATCTTAAGACACAATTTAATTGCAAAAGAGGGATCAGTAAATGGGTATGGATTGCGAAGTGCTCCAAATGCAGAAGAGGTTGATTGATAATTAGTCATATATGCATGATATATCATCCTAGAAAATAGACAAATACTGGTTTGTACACTCTCATCCTCCTTTGCCCCCAACAAAAAGGATAAAACACCATGAAAGGCCCAAGTTATCTGAATTAAAGTTGATTTAATCAACTAAATTATTTCATAAAATTCATGATTCCCTCTATTGGACATTTGAGCTGAAGTGCTTATAGAGAAAAATATTATATCTTGATTGTGAAATACATCAAAATTCATTACTTGAAGCATGTAAATGCACAAACAAATTTTTCTCCCCCCTCTGGCAAACAATTTAACCTAACATACTCCAACTGCTGACTTAAAGGATTTACTTCCAGAAATTTCCTAAGAAATAGGTTAATCTCTTCTCTTCTTTTTACATAAATTTATACTTCGGTGAATGTGCATCAAGCTCTATAATGCAGCATGCTTATGGAGTTGGAGTAAATTCTTACGAAAGAAAAAAAAAAGCTAATATTCAAATAATAAAATGGTGCTAACGATCTACAAACCTAGATGATCGACAAAAGAAAAGAAATGAACCCAGCATGAATCTCCCCTTTGAACAAAACCAATTCTGTACCAGAAAATATCAGCAGCGGCAACAAAAATTGATAACAGTTGTACGACCAAGAAATAAATAACAGAAGGCGATTTCCATGACTGAATTCTGCAAATGATCCACAGGAATTAATTTTCAGTAAGTAGAAGCAAAAAGTGAACTAAAAGAAGAAAGGAAAATGATTGTGGTCAGCTCTTACGTCATGAAACCAATCAGCTTAGCCCACCATGCATTGGCTATGCTCCACTTATATCCCTCAAGAGACCATATAACAAGGAAGGTAACTTGAGCAAGAATAACAAGCGAAGAGAATATGATAATTGGCCAAAATACCAAAAACCGCCGACCAAAAATAAACCCTACAATAAAGATGCACCATGTATTAACAAAGAAATAAATAATTATATTTAAAAAATTTGTAAGAAACCATGTTTTCATTGAGAAAAGGAAAGAATATCAAGGGCATACCAAAAAAAAAAAAAAAAAAAAAAAAAAAAAAAAAAAAAAAAAAAAAAAAAAAAAAAAAAAAAAAAAAAAAAAAAAAAAAAAAAAAAAAAAAAAAAAAAAAAAAAAAAAAACCCTCTCAAACCTCCTCCAAAGACCTCTTAACCCATTCCTCTCAAGCCACGCTCCCTGACAAATAGCAAAATGACAAGCCTGCCACTAGAGTTTCCCTTCATTCCAAAAGGAGATGAGCGAGGTGAAAAAACTGGTCATGGAGCAACTCTAAAAATTTTATGATATCCTTATTTAAGACGTTTTCCCAATGAGTTAAATTACTTGTTTTGAATTGTGTTTATAAGACTTCTAGTTTACGGAAACGAGAGAATTTTGAATTAATGGTGCTTTTTAATTTTTTATGTTGTTGAACTATTTGATTAAATTGCATGTCTTCTAAAATTTCTTTTAAAAGATACTCCGATCATGATTCTACTAAATTATTTTTTAGCATCCTTTCAATTAATTTAAATTACAAAAGATTTAGTACTTAATTAACGGCTTCGGCCAGTACGTGAGCAAAAAGCTGGGCCGTTGCATCTTTGAGGAGCAAAAAGAAAATCCCTTGAAGCTAAAGAATTTTAAGTTCATAATGATTCACCATTAGCTCTCTTACAGTTATGCTTCAAGTACAATACCATTCATTAATTAAATTTATTCCGCTTCTAAGAAACAGTGAAATAAGAATTCACTAGGCATAAACGAACAATAACTAAAGCTAACAATCAATATTATCAACTCTAATATTGACAGAGCATTACCTATTTTATCTGCATTAAATTGAATGAAAAGAAACAACAATAAATCAGTAAGAGAGATCAGACTCCAATTGATTAAAGCCGCTGCAAGAAAATGAGAAAATAAAAAGAGTTAATTAATAGTTCCGGAGGTCAAACAAACGAAGTGTATCAGTTGAGATGTAAGGAAGCTATAAAATAAAATAACTCTAACCAAAACATTTCAAGAATTCTAAGTTCAAACACTAACATCGTACTTTTCTATTATTCGAAGGAAGAGCTTAAAAGTGGAATTTGGTCTCATGTTTCCTTGACCTTTTAATGGCATAATGGTTGTATGTGAATGGCATCTTTTAATTACTCCTTGACGTCTATATATGTCAATTGTAATTACTCTTCAGCGTCTATATAACTACTCTTTTCATAATTTCATTCTTACTTAATGAATGGTCACATATCTTAACAATAAAATAATAATTACAAAAAGGAACTTATTTTCAAAAAAAAAAAAATTGCCAGATAGCCCTTTAATCATCCATTGATCCGTTGCTTTTTTCACTAATAAAAGTTGGATAAATTTTTCATGCTACGTTGGTGTATGCTTAAGAGAGTTGTGGATTATCTACTTGAAGCTTGGGAATGGCTTATGTCTAAAGCTGAATTTTTCAATTCTTTAGTAGAATGCCTATAATGGTCAGGAAGAAGTGGTGGGTTCGTTCAAGACGTGCAGTAGACTTTAGTTTTATGTGCTAGTTTATTTTCTTTGTTCTAGTTTCATCTCTTTCGGTTGGAATTCTTGTCGTTAAAAAGGAAGCTTTCTGAAGTTCCTGGTTAGTAAGATTTAAGGCATATCCAACCCCCTCTTCCAAATGAACGTGGTTTTATGATACAAAGTTCCTTTCCCGTCCGGGTTTGAAAACGAATCATACTAACAGCAAAACTGCAGAAGAGACCTGACCACCTCAAGCCAATTCCAAAATTTCTACATAAAGTAAAAGAATTCATAACCTAAGACAAAAGAAACACAATGTCAAAGCAAGATGGCTTATGAAAAAGGTCAACCAGAAGGTATTGATGTCAGGATGGTAGCAAACACATGACCTAGTTTGTTCCATGTTCAGATTCCTACATCTAACACAGCATGCTTGTTCAAATTGAGCGTAAATATTAGACCATTTACAGATTCCCAATTTACAATGAGAGAGGCATGACTATAGGAATAAAAATATTAGACAATTTATACCAAGATATAGTATGGCAAACAGCATTGTCGATGAGCACTCCATATAGTTCTATGTCTTTTACATGAATACTCTTTGATTTCTTTCTTTCCACAGATTTCAAAAGAAATCAATGATAAGGTTTTTCCATAACAGGATTTTTGCATTCTTGAAAGGTGGTACATTATGGTCATGTCCAATAAATCATTTATCTCCCTAGGGAAGGTGAGATGTCATCCGAAGATATGGAGAATTCTTGTCCAGAAATTTTGAGCGTATATGAATCACATAAATAAGTGGTTTTGTGATTCATTGTTTTTCTTGCGTAATAGGCACCAACTTGGAAATAGAGTTACAAATGGCATTCTATTTTGTAGATTTTCACTTGCGATAATGACTTTATACGCTATTTTCCAAAGGAAAATTTTCACCTTTTTATGGTGAATTTCCTTTCCACACTGTCTTTGCTAACGTGGGGTTTATTACTTCTATTTTTTTTCCAATGTCCACCATCAAAGATTTTGTAGAAAAGATCCCGTAATCACTTCGAAGCCATGTCAATGAGTTTTTTCTTTAGACAATACAACTAGGGCAAGATCAAGGCTTAATTCGGCCCATAGCTTCATTATCTTTTAGGTTCCTACCAATCATCATGTCCCATAAGTTGTTGATATCATTCCATGTTTCTTTGATCGTAGTTGTTTTACTATGAGAGAGTCTATACAAAAGTGGATATCACAAGGTTAGCTTGGTGTTTGCAATCCAAGGATGGATCCAAAATCCTCCTCACCACCCTATGGCAAATTCAGTTGGAGATAAGGTTTTGGTGTTTTTTTATGTACTTTTATGGCCCCTTTGCACAAGATGGAGGGGTTGATTTGTATGTGATGTAGGAGTATATTTAGTCTTTACAATTTTTCTCCACAAGGCGTTTTCTTCGTGAAGATATCTCCATATCAATAATGGCAAGAAGAGCTTTATTCTTCTCCTTTATTGAAAATAGACCAAGTCCTCCCTCGTCTAGTGGGAGGCTTATGATATTTCATCAGATAAGATGTGGGTCATCTTTCCACTAATAGTTTCCAATAATCTTTCTATATCCGTAACCAATTTTAGTGGCATTTCAAATAGAGACGTATAGTAAGTGGGGAGATTGAACAATGTAACTCGTATTAGGGTGAGCTTTCCGCCTTTGGAAGTATAACATGATGACCATGTCGATAACCTTCTTTTTATTTTTTCAATAATGGTCTTCTAGAAGGAGAATGATTTGTGGTTCCCTTTAAAGGTAATCCTAGGTACATATTCGGTCATTCACCCTTTTTACAACCGTATCTAGTGGCGCAATCTTTGATAATCTCTGTGCCAAAATTGATACCCATAACAACACTTGTTCATATGTGCTCCATTTTTTTTGCCTAGCATCACCAAGTTTCTCACTAAAACACTCAATAGGGTGGTTTTCTTGGGAAAGTACAACTCCTACACCCACACCCCATTAAAACTAACTTTATTGAACTCTGTTCTTGGAGAAAAGCTTTTGGATAAAACTGATTAACACCTCTTACAACCTAATGACACCTATTTAAAAGGCTGCAAACCCGCCTTTGTTCCTTAACTAACAGTAACTAATACCATTATGTCTTTAAACTTGATAAACAAAACTAAATGTTCTAATCCCTCAAACTAAGGATGCTAAAAAGATAGCTAGAACAACGACCAATGATTACATCAAGAACAGTTTAGATCCTAAAAAATGTCCCCGCAGATATGAAACTGAGCAAAAAACACAGCAAGCCCTCGACCAGTTCCAAAGCAAATGGTGCAAATATCTCATAAGAACAGGAACTCACAAGAAGTTACAACATGAAAATAGACGAACGCTTACCAGTTAGAAGCAGCAGCGGTAACAAAAACCCACCAAGAAAACTCCCCATGAGAGACGAATGGCAGAGAGCGATCACTTCGATTCCATCATTAGCACTGCTCCGGCAATGGGTTTTCGATTTAAATCAAAAATCGTGAAAACCCATTTCCAGAAGCGCTAGATGGTCATATTAATATATCGAAAGCTCTGTCCAATTCAGAAAGTAAAAAAAAAAAGTGTTGATTATAGGCTTGCAACAGAAGAAATCAGAATTATATTGATTGGCGGTGGAATAGTATATAGTTCTTTAATCTGCCAAGCCTGTAGAATCAAGCAGGCTTTAGAATCGAAGCTCCGTAAATGTTCGTAGAATAAATAGGTAACTGAATTCGGATACGTTGAAAGATGATCTGCGGGAACTGTATTTATGCAGAAGCCCAAATTAAATAAATAAATAAATAAATAAAATCAACCGATTTGCTGGTTGTTGGGTGGCTTCAGCGAATGGCCACCGCCACCGTCGCGGCACGCCACCACGTGATGTTCCGATTCTATGTATCGTTTAAAAATCATTATTCACAGATATTTTTTTTGTAAATAAAAAAATATTTAAGTTGTTTTTGCTAATATATATTTGTATATTATAAATCTCGATTAATCCTTAATATCGGTATTAAATATTTTTATTTATAGATATAAAGACATTTAAATCAAAAATGATATATAGTTAAGTTTTTTCATTTAATTTAAAAATTTTAATTAATGACTTTAAATATTTTTATTTATAGATATAAAGACATATTTAAATTGAGCCAATAGATAGTAAAAAAGAATATATATAATATATATATTTATAGTTTAGTCCCTCCAATTAATTTAAAATTTTTAACTAATAATTTATATATATATATATATATATATATATATATATATATATATATATATATATATGATAAATCTCGAAATTTTTAATATCAATGTTAAATATTTTTATTTATAAATATAACAACGTATTTAAATCAAGCCATGTTAGATGTTTAAAAAAAATATATTTTTTAGTTACTTTAATTAATTTAATTTTTTATTAATAATATATATAATGACGTATTTATTAATAATTTTTTATTAATAATATATATAATGACGATTAATCCAATATTGATGTTAAATATTTTTATTTATAAATATAATGACGTATTTAAATAAAGTCTAAAAAATGAGAATATATATATATATATATTTATACAATTGAGTTTGACAACGTTTTCTTCCTTATTTTTATTAGGTTTCCAATTATTTGATTTGTAGTTTAATTTTAAAAATAAATAATAAAATTTATAAAATTATTTTTATGAGTTTTGAAAATTTTGAATTTTTTAAAAAATAACAAATTTATTAAAAATAAATTGCATTTATAAGCTTAAATTTAAAAGATTAAATTAAAAAGAAACTATAAAATTGGTTATTCAACGTATAATAAATTAATTATTAAAAATATTGTAATTTAAAAGATTAAAATTAAAAAGAAACTATAAAATTGGTTATTTAACGTATAATAAATTAATTATTAAAAATATTGGAATTTCATAATTAAAAATGATTGGGCATACAAAATCTGGAAGTCTCGGGAAGAGTATATAAGAGTGAGCTGGAGATCGAGCTCCAAAAATGGTGAAATTGCAGAAGCGATTGGATGGCGGGACTTTCCTTAGCTTTATCTCTTTGCTTAATTTTCCTTCCTGCGATATCCGAAGCATCCCGTTGCTCGATCATTGGTATGTACTTTTCTTCTTCCACCACCAGATTTTAGCTTCTCCTGCGCCGTTTCGCACTTTTTGCTTCGATGTTTTGCTTGTCTGTGCTTCGTAAACTCCGAAGAAGTTGAGTTTTGTCATATGCAATGCTCTTGATATTACATGTTTTTTGTTTGCTCCCTTTGGTTTCCATTTGAGTAGCTTTTGAAGCCCTTTTGGCCATTAGAGACGTTTTTTGAAGTACCTAGGCGGCAACCAGATCAATACCTTCCTTCGAGTTTCTCATCGAATTTTCGCGGATTTTGATGGCTTCCACCGGCATTTTGGACGACGATTAACTCATCTCCCAAAAACGACGGAATGAGAGCCGTCCAATCAATGATAATCATGAAGAGATTGTAATTACAAATAATTTTTGTGTAAAATTATCCATCTAAGCGCTGTGTTTTGTGCAAGACTACTCAAATGTAAAAACGTATAGACCTAAAGGATCTTGCACTTCTTTCTTTCCATTTATGTCACCAAAGTGCTCTAAAGGCACAGCTCCGTACGACCTTGGTTTTCCCCATCAGATTCCACGCATAAGCCAATCTTCCACTCTTCTAGGAAGAAAAGTAGAAACTCCCAGATTTCCAAACAAGTAATTCTCTGAAACTGAAGACGTTGTCTTGAATAATGGTATCCATAAAATTGGGCTTCAGATTTTACACAATACCTTCATTGGGTTAATACGTTTTAAGACTAGAAATATGGTGGTTTTTGGTTTTAAGGTATTTGAGTATTGAACATGTTATGTCATGATAACATTCAGGACGAAGCGCTACAAATTTACTACCGAACTAATCGATGTTCTGCTCTGTTTTGAGTCTTCGAATTGTTGTATTTAAGCTTACCTATGTGACTTCGGACCCAAGTGTTTTGATGTGTATTTGTGAAGGGGATGGTCTGAAAGTTGAACTTTGTGTACCTGACTGACTTCCGTATGGTAGCTAACATTTTTTGGTGTTTTTAAATGCATCTAAATTTTTTCATAGATCCAGGGTTGCCTCTTGTAAGAAATATCAGTGAGCTTCCACAAGATAACTATGGAAGAGGAGGCTTGTCTCACATTACCGTTGCAGGTTCACTATTGCATGGGCTGAAGGAGGTATGGCGTGTTCATCCTTCGAGGTTCTAGAACCTAGCCAAGCTTTGTAATGAAACAAAATATATTTTTTATTGGCTTGTGCTAGCCATTTACCACTTTATTGAATTTTGCAGGTGGAAGTGTGGCTCCAAACATTTTCCCCTGGATCACACACACCTATTCACAGGCACTCCTGTGAAGAAGTTTTTGTGGTTTTGAAGGGGACTGGCACTCTCTTTCTCGCACCTAGTTCTCATGGAAAGTACCCTGGAACACCAAAAGAATTTTCTATCTATTCAAACTGTACATTTCACATACCTGTTAATGATGCTCACCAGGTACGTTGTTCTACTTAAATCCCCTCCTTGCTTTAGAAGTATCCATAAATATTGTGGGCTTAGTTGATATACATCATTTCTGGTTGCTTACAAACTTAGGGTATTAAACCCAATAATTTCGTTTGAGGTAGATTATGAAAATAACCCAAGTCTCAAATGTCTAGTCTTGCTATCCTTAGAATTTTTGTTGCCATGCAATGAGTATTGGAAAGCTTATGGAAGCCTTCTTTTTTAAAGATGGCGAGGGTGAGTGGTTCGAAAAAATTGGAAGTTCAATGGATCTAAAGAAAATAAATCAAGCTAGGATGAACGAGACTTTACTTTGCCAATGGAAGAATTTTCTATGGCTGAAGATGTTGATTTGAATTTTCTATGGCCTAAGCAAAACATTCAAAATGAGAGAAATAGCACAAATTACTCAGCTGTCAAATAAAAGCTAGGGTAAGTGCTAAAATAATCTCACTTCATAGGATTTTCAGTAGTCAACAGAAAACTACTGGTTCATTGAATCTTATTATATATAATTTTCTTTATGAGGGTCGGGAGTGTATTTGCTCTTGCAAATGAATTTTGGTATTTTTCCCCAAGGAGCATCTTGAATTAAGGATAGGGAGGAAAGAAGGGCGTAGTTTCTTGATTTCTAAACCTCCTTCTCATGTGTATCTTGCTTGAATGTTCTTTTGGTTATCTGTCCGTTGAAACTGCCATTTTGCTAATTGGGAATTTGGAAGGTGAAACTACCAAATAAGGTCAATGTTTCTGCTCAGTTTGTGGTTAATGAGATTGATTGTTCTTTGGGTCTTAAACGGGGATTTGCGGCTACATGTTTTTTGATGAAAAATTAAACTACAAGGCAAAAGCCTTCAAAATCCTTCCACTCCCACTGGACTCTTCAGACTTCTTCATTGCATGATTTTCCATGCTTGCTTTCCATCCCACCCCATGGAAGAAAGGAAACACAATCAGGCTTAGGCCTAGATATATGCATATGCAAACTGAGGACGGGTTTTTGGAGTTAGCTACTTCCTCTTATACTGTCTTTGAGGAGTTGAGGCCTGACCTCCTCCTCCCTTTGTTTTATGGGATAATGAAGTTTACTGTTTACTATATATATATATATGGATGGATGGATAGATAGATATAGATATGATTATATTTATACGTTCCTGTTCTTTTAGTGGATCAAAGAATCATGAAATCTGGCTTTCAGATGAAACCTTTCTCCAGTGACTTTCTACATTGATCTATGAAATGTGGACCGATGTGCATGGTATCATCAGTTTAAGCCCCTGATCATGCTTGCAATGCTTTTTTTTTTTTTTTTTTTTCCAAATTATATTTTCAGTTTATCAAATACACCACAATGTTCAAACAATTCTCAACTCAAACCAAGCCTCTGATATCACTTGAATGGTTAACCATTAACACAGATATGGAATACGAATGAACATGAGGATTTGCAGATGCTTGTCATCATTTCCAGGCCACCAGCCAAAGTGTGCGTATTTTTCTTCCATTTTACATTATGTATTTCATCTTTGGTCGTTTTTATAACTTGAGCTTAACGAATTATACATTTGCTTGAAGAAGGTCATTATGGTATTTAGGAGTAAATTGAAGGTGAGACTCATGAACAACCAAGATGTTTTGGTTTATGGTTGCAGGTTTATTTATGATGACTGGGCCATGCCCCATACTGCTGCAAGATTGAAGTTCCCCTACTATTGGGATGAACAGTGTTTTGAAGCGCCCGTAAAGGATGAACTTTGACGTTGTTTGTCGATCAAATTGACCATTAACATGAAGTGTAAAGTCGAATTCTCATAAAAACATGAAGTGTTGTAAACTTTAAACAAGGTGCAACATCTTGAAAGTTCTTCAAGCTTGTATCACTCACTTTTGCTTCAAAAATCCATTCCAAATGGATAGAGCCTTGTTGAGGTGTGAAAGCCTATAGTTTCTTCTATAATTTAGGCTTGGAATCATTGATGGTCGTTAGCGTCGGTTTGATAATAACTTCGAATTTATGTTTGGTTCTTACTCATTATTATTTTTAATTAAAAATATAATTTATTTTAGTTCAACGTTAGTAGCTTATCAATTGAACAATGTTCAAATTGATAAATATAAATATTATTCACGTACATGTAGCTCAAATATCCCACTAAATTTATAGATTTAACCACAAGATTATATATAT